CACGGCGGCGGGGCCAGCACCATCCACAGCAGCAGCAGCATCTTCTGCTGGCTCTGGGAGCCCTCCAGTGGCTGCACACCCAGGAACGGCGCCGGTGATGCTGTCCCTGTCCCCAAAGAGGGGACAGACAGGCAGCATGGACCCTGCTGCCACACAGCTGAGCCAGGGCGTTCGGATATCAACCCTCCGTCCAGCCTGGAGCAAAGGCAGCCAAGATCCTGCTGATCCCTGCCGGGAATACGCGCTCCAAGGTGACTCGTGGCAAGGCTGTGGGGTCACTGCGTGGGAGATGAGGTGGAGGGGAGCACGGGCAGCTCTCCACGAGCCCAGAGCTCTGCAGATTAGCACACGGCACAATAAGTTTGCTAAAGATAGACCCGGAAAGGGAGAGTGAGCATTTGCACAAGGATTCTGGGCAAAAGCTGGAGCTCGGCTCATTCCAGACACAGGTTAACATCAAGGAGGAGAACAACTTGTGACTCACCAGGGTCACGGGTGTCTGGGGACACCAGAGCACTCCTTCACCACTGGACCCTGGGCACAAGTCCGTGGATGACTTCAAAAGAAAAGGGTTTAGGAATTTTTTACACCTAGGAATGGGGACAACCAGCATGCAGAAGAGATAAAGCACAGTTGGCTTGCAGGCTTCACATCCAGGAGGATGAACTGCCTCAAGCTGGGAGAACAAGGGTCCTGCTTGCCACCTCCTTAGGCATATTGCAAGGACTTCCTCCAGACCAGCAAGCTGGTAGCACTTGAAAGCTGTCCCCTCTTGCACATCACACATCTGGTGTTTACAGCACTAGTGCCCTTCCTTTAGCTGGAAAATGGTAACACTGATTCCCTCTGGTGTCTTTTTCACATGACTGACCACAAAACTATTAATATCTGAACCCAGAGCTGGGTCAGCTAAGACAACTCACTGCCTCCAAGGAGAGGAAAACCACAACTTCTTCCATCTCTGGAAAAACCTCTTGTGACTGCAAGGGCAGCAGCTCAGATGTAGTGGAGAGGGTTCTGGCTTGGTGATACACCTCAGTGGAGAACACCAACCAGCATGAGACAGTTTAGTTTGTTGCTTCTCTGCCTCCTTCGCATCTCCAGGAAGGGTGAGTCCTGAGCTTGCTACAAACCCCTGCCTGATCAGGGCTTTTCTTCTTGCTCTAGGCAAAGTGCCAGGGGAATTGCCTGGCATAATAAACTCTCCAAGAACTGCACCATACCTCACATTGCTTAAAAGGATTGTGAAATTCCAGGTGCATGTGGGAATACTGGAAAAAAACTCAACGGCTTGATTCTGCAATTGTCAGAAGTTTTTGGTTTGGTGTTTTATGCCTTTTTCTTTTTTAACTTCATCTAACTTTTCCCCTGCATTGTCAGTTGGATGTAGCACATCCACCACCACTCAGAAGTGCTGTTTCATGTTCCTTGGAATTATTAATGGACACCATTTGCTTCAGTTCCACTGAACACTTAAGCTCATGTTTGACTTCAAGTATGCACTGAAGTTCAATCGAAGTCATTGGGATTTGCATAGATGTCTTGTCAAATAATGCTTGCTAGGGCAAGGCTGGTGGTCTCCAGCTCTGGAACTGGTTATTGCCCTCATCACCTTTCCACTGACAACTAGTAGATAAATTGACCTGGAAACTCATTTCAGGAGTGACTCTGCATAAGGTTTGTAGACTATTTGCCTATGACCTTCCCTGTTTCTTGTGAGAACTTCAAACCCAGAAGCACAAAGAGGATGGAAATTAGCAAGAGGAAGCCATGGAAGACCTACCATGCTAAAGCTTTCAGGTTAAGGTGAAATCATACACAAGATGCTGAGAACCCCCTCCACTCATAACCTTGGCAAACTGTGTTTCCACAGGAATGGGTGGAGCTGGTAACATTAGAAGCACCTTTATTTCTCATGTGGAAGGCAAGGGGATGTCCATGTGCTAAAACCAAAAAGAGCTCTTTGCTTACAACTTGAAAAAAAAAAAAAATGTAAATCAAAAAGGTGGCAGAGAAAAGCAAATCATGTACTCAGAAGCACATGATCTGCAGTTCTCCAAAATCAAGGCTTTGCAGTGACATGATGTAAAATAAACAAAATAACATTAAATAAACTGGAAAGCAAGAGCACTTTCTGTTTTCAGAGCCAGGTCTTTGTGCTCAGAATCCATGAGCCTCCTGGAGCTCCTGTGGCCATGTAGCCTTGTGTCTTGGATTACCTAGGCTGCAAAAGGCACTCACAAAGTTACAGTGAATGACAATGCAGCTGACTCCAGACCTCAGTAATCAAAATACTGGCTTGGCCCTGATTCCAGATAAATAACTTAATGACAGAGAACCGGTTCTACCTTGGCCTTTGTCCATTGTACAGAGCACAATAGATTAATGAGCTGCACTGCCACTGAGGCATTTTGTCAAGCATTATGGAGAGCAGATATATGAACAAGCAACAAATCTTACCTTGGAGTTTACACAAGTAACCAGACAGCTGAATGCCCACAGACACAGACCAGGAATTGGAGGTAATTATTTACAGGACAACTTAATATTTCTTGCAGTTATTCTCAGGAATTGAGGGGAAAGACCCTGATTTAATGAAGCTATCAAGTGAGTTTTGTAAGATATGAATGAAGCCACAGACGTTACTGAAGCCACAATCTGCTGTTGCAGCTGTTGCAATTAGCAACACAGTGAATAGATGAACAGATCTATATGGAAAGTACTGCCTGAAGGTGCTGTTTGTTGAGGCTGTTGGTTCCTGGGAAAGGGAAAGAGATAAAGGGGAGATTTAGATAAGATA